GGGTCTGAAAACACCCAGAGCACAGTCTCGAGTGAGGAGCGTGAGAAACACAAAAGAGGGATGTGAAAGAGAAAGTCCAACATACGACTAAACAGAGCTTCAGAAAGAGATAATGAAGAGAATAGAGGAGAAAATTTGTGAAGTATAATGGATAAGAATTTTGCAGAATTGATCAAAGATACCAATTTCCCCATCCAGGAAGACCCACAATGCCAAACAGGATAAGCAAAAAGAAATCTCCACCTGGACACATCATAGTGAAACTGCACCACAGAAAGAAACAGAGATCTGTAAAAGCATCTGAAAGGAAAAGATAAATCACCTACAACAATACGGAGTAGTTAGACTCATAGCTGACTTCTCATCACTGATAGAAGCCAGAAAACTGTGGAAAGATATTATCAAATGTGCAGGGAGAAAATATCTTTCAACCTAAAACTCTATACCCATAAACAAGTAAAACTATCATTAGAAAAGACAAAAACTGAGAGAGTTTGCAACCAATAGAGCCTTTCTAAAAGAAATTTCATAGAATGTACATGAGGTAAAAACAAAATGATCCTGAGTAGAAGTTTGTTGCTCCATGAATTAATATAAAAATGTGTTTGCAGACAGGATTTGTCTTAGGAGTTTTGCAGAGCTTTACCCTGAATATGTGAACGTGTTGGTTTGCATTTCAAATGCTGTTACACTCGGAAGGGCGTCTCTGAAAGACGGTAGCGGCTGTATCCCACAAGGCACCACGTTTCTCAGACCTAAAGGTTTGGATTTTCTTTGTAAAGCAAAGTGAATCTGTTAAAAACTACAGGCTGAGAGCTGACAATGGAGTGCCCCCCAGAACAGACAGCTTCCCGAATGGCTAAAAGCAAAGCTCTTGTTTTAACACTCTAGACTACCTGTCTCCATTTACAATAACCTAATAAATATGGAGCCAACATATCTCTGTTTAACCCCTCTGTTAAGTGATAAACTTACCTTAGAACTTAACCTTTGAAAGATTTTGTAACTGTTTGCTCACGTAGATAGAATTAGTTAAAGAATCTGTAGAAGCCTTTTGAAAATCTGTTAACCTGAGAGGAACTACCTGCTGTTATGTAAATCTGTTACCCCTGGCAATTATTCACTATTCCCTATAAGTTACCATGTAAGACCTCATTCAGGGCTTTTTGAGACCCACAGAGAAGGTCTAGGCCCCCTGAGATCCCACTTTGCCTATAATCTTCATAAACTTATAAAACTATATCTTTGTCTCTGTGTATTCTTTTAGTTCTTTTATTTTCCATTTTTCTCTATTATTTTCTTATCCCTTGCAACTCTACCAAAGGGACCCGGTTTTTTGTGGGGAACACTGGCCACGTTCCTGGCAGAAGTTCTGAGGATTAATGAGTAAAGATATTGGTAAATATGGAGTAAATTAAATATTATACAAAACTATTATAATAATGCCAAATTTATAGACGGAATAAAACAGAAATTGGACAACTCAGTTTCTAAGGATTTTCTATTACTTGGGAAAGGGTAAAAATGATTAACTTTAGACTCTGCTAAGGATGTATGTTAAATTATCTCTAGTAATTAATAAGAAGCATGTTCCTCGAGTATAAATTTTACACAAGTAGGGGGGATAAATGAAATATTAAAAAGGGGGGTGATGTAGGAATATAACCAGAATAAAGTCAAGAAAGAAAAACCATTTAAGTACAAAAAAAATCTGAATAGAAAACAAGATAGCATAAATAATACCAGTGATATATCAGTCATTACAATAAATGCAAATGGATAAAACTCTCAGGTTAAAAAATGAAGACTGTCAGACAATATTTTTTAAAAAGTAAAACCAACTATATCTATTTAGAAAATATTCTGAAAGCATAGGGACACAGAAAGGGTATAAGTCGAAGAGGAGTAGAAAAAGATACATTAGGCAAATACTTAACCAAAAGAAAGTTGGTATAATGTAAAAAGAATTAAAAGCAATACCATTTACATCAATGTCAAAAAATTAAATACACGAGTATGAATTAATGAAACATGTACAAAGTCTATATGAGGAAAACTATAAAGTTCTGATGAAAGAAATCAAAGAAGATATAAACAAATGGAGCGATATTTCATGTTCATAGATTAAAAAGACTCAATATTAAGATGTAAGTTCTTCTCAACTTGATCTATACATTCAATGCAATCCCCGTGAGTTACTTTGTTGATATTAACTGATTGTCAAGTTTATATGGACAGGCAAAAGGTCCATAATAACCAATACAACATCAAAGGAGAAGATCAAAATCAAAGGACTGACTGACACTACTCAACTGGAAGAATTACTATAAAGCTACAGTAATCTTAACAGGTATTGGCAAAAGATCAGACAAATAGATCAATGGAACAGAACAGAGAGCCCAGAAATAGACCCACACAAGTATAGTCAACTGATCTTTGACAAAAGAGCAAAGACAATTCAATGGATAGTCTTTTCAACAAATACTACTGGAACAACTGGACATGCAAAATAAAAATCTAGGTACAGACCTTATACCTTTCACAAAAATTAACTCAAAACGAATCATAGATCTAAACAGAAAACACAAAACTATAAAACTCCTAGAAGGTAACACAGGAGAAAAATCAGACTGATCTTGGGTTTGATGATGACTTTTTAGATAAAACACATAAGTACAAACCATGAAAGAAAAAAATTGATAATTTGGACTTCATTAAAATTAAAAACTTCTGCTCCATGAAAAACACCACTAAAAGTATGAAAAGATAAGCCACATACTGAGAGAAAATATTTGCAAAATGTGTATCTGGGCCGGGCGCGGTGGCTCACGCCTGTAATCCTAGCACTCTGGGAGGCCGAGGCGGGCGGATTGTTTGAGCTCAGGAGTTCGAGAC